TGGTTCGAGTCCCGTACAGGCCTGATTTTTTTCAGGTCTGATTTTCGCTATTGCATAAATAGCGCTATCTACTGCGAGGATCGTGCATCATACGTATCTAATACCGCAGTTCAAAATATATGAACTTCATATATTCATTGTATCTCATTTATCACTTTCACGGGTTTATTACGAATCAACTTAACGGCCTGCTCCCAGTTGGCTTGTTAGCTCAATTGGTAGAGCGCTGCACTAGTATCGCAGAGGTCAATGGTTCGAGTCCCGTACAGGCCTGATTTTTTTCAGGTCTGATTTTCGCTATTGCATAAATAGCGCTATCTACTGCGAGGATCGTGCATCATACGTATCTAATACCGCAGTTCAAAATATATGAACTTCATATATTCATTGTATCTCATTTATCACTTTCACGGGTTTATTACGAATCAACTTAACGGCCTGCTCCCAGTTGGCTTGTTAGCTCAATTGGTAGAGCGCTGCACTAGTATCGCAGAGGTCAATGGTTCGAGTCCCGTACAGGCCTGATTTTCGCTATTGCATAAATAGCGCTATCTACTGCGAGGATCGTGCCTCATACGTATCTAATACCGCAGTTCAAAATATATGAACTTCATATATTTATTCTATCTCGGATAAAGAATTGTCAGAAATTTCCCAGGTATATTTCAGAGCCGGGTGAAAAGAAACTAAGAAATATAAACTAAGCCTTCGGAACACTGCAATGTATCAAAAACTAATCCAATCGTAGATGACGCCTCTTCGATACCGCATAGATGACCCTTCGCCACTGAAACGTATGAAACAGCTGAGATGTCGGGGCATAACTTTTCTTAGGTGCTTCTGGCGCTGAATACTGAGCGATCGCCACAAAAACGTATCAAATGTTTGTTTTGCCTTGCAAGTACGTGCGCAATATTTAAAAGGATCGAAAGAATTGTGTTCAAAACTTTATTTCATTACGTTGTAGTAGTTTACACTCGAAAGGAATAGGCGCCTGTAAGCAAGGAATTTCTCTTTGGGACTGAGTAAGATTTTTGCCAGAATTTAGTTGCCCACTTAAGATCATTGAGTTGAAATAGTGTTAAACTCGAAAGGAATTCACGCCAGATCAGAATCTTTCACGAACCTTTCACGCCACTAATAAAAAAGTATGAAATTTTTTAACGTTCAAGGTGAAACTGATGTGAGTTTTAAGTTTCAACCACGCGTCATCCTCATAATATGAATATGGTGTGAACTCATTAAACATAATGTATATATCCACCGACGTATCAGAAACTCTTAGCCCCAAAATTTCTATCTGCATATGAAATTCCAGCAACTTTCCATTGCCTAGAGACTAGGCCGTCACTTGAGCCTTTACAAGTTTTTTGCTTAAAAGCAGTACGTCTAAAACGTGTGGATTACCGCCACCATGTGGCATTCTTCCAGTTGGAGTGTCTTCCAGCGGTCCGTCCGAACCAACAACGACGCGAAAGGATGGCACCAAGACCTGAACCGTTACGCACAAGGAAGTCCTAGCTTCCGTTCTACCTTTTGGTCGACCTGTTATTCCATGAAGCCCAACGCACCTCAATTCAAATCCGGCTTGTTTTAGCGCGAAAACTTAAACGGGTTCAGCAACGGTGAAAACGAAATTTTCAAGCGAGTCTCTTCGATGTCTGCTGTGGTACCTGTTCTAGAGGGGCGAAACATCGGCAAACCGCCTCCTCAAAATAGCCTCGCGTCTTATTGCTTCCCGATTTTATACGTGTCATTTACCTAGTTATGGTCAGCATTCTATTTCTTATTTCTCTGACGAACTATCACGAACATGAATCATCTGCGACCATAAATGCAACTTACTACAAATACGCTGCAACATTGAAAAAGAGGGGGAGGCACGATAACAGGCGACAGAAACATAACGAGGGCTTTCGAGTTATAAACGCCACGTTGGTAAACATGGTAAGATAAGGAGCTCGGTTATGGTAACGCACTCGGCTAGCTGAGGTGGAGAACTCGACCTCTAGGTAGCGTACATGTAGCGAACTCGGACGTAGCGAACTCGCGTAAATCCTGCAATTATACTCGTGATTAACAAATCGGACCCCACTTCGCGACCGCCATTTTTTGTTTATTTCTAGTATAATAACAGAACGAATTGAACTCCATTCAGTCCTATTATCATGATAAATATCCCCCCATCATTGGAATCCACTGTTTCTGGCACAAACTTGAGCCAGCTTACAAGGAAGCCATAGAAAAGGCTGACCTTGGGGATAAGTTCTTACACTTTTGATGGAATTTTATCCTTTTAAAGAGAACAGCCCATCCACAGTTATCTTACACCCTCTCACCGCTATGCGAGTTGGTGGGACCGTCTGGGTAGGTCGCGCTTTTCCCGCCTCAACAAATCTAGGATAGGAGGCACTTTTTCTGAATACGCATTATGTCGTTGGACATAACGCTTATCGGTGAAACGTTGATAACCAAACGTGATAGAAAAACTGCAAAGCAACCACTAGGAATGTCGAAAAATCTAAACATGGTTTTGAAGTTCAAATGCTTAGGATTGAAACCTTGCATAAGGTTCTTTTTTCGAAGTCAAATTCGATATAATATTAATCTGCCCATGGCAAATAAATGTGCAAACGTCCATAATTTTCTTTAGTCTTGAACAGCCGCAGAATAAATATTTTGGTTGTATGTAAGTGAAATAAAAAGATAGGTAGTGACGAAGCTATGATAATTTCCAGTAAATTTTCAAAAGAAACATATACACAGCTCCAGAATGATTGACTTCGTTGTAAGAAAATGAATTTACGTGATTTTAAGGCTGGTTTCAATTTGGGTTGACGCACTCCTCTTCCTTAAATGGCCGAACCTGACCCTTCTACCTGGGTGAATCTCAACAAAAACACAAATGAGGGTTTAAGGCAGTGTCGGACATTGGCACTCGCCCGCTCGCCCAGACGAGTGTGAAAAATGTCGGGCGGTGCAAATTCTCGATCACTCGCCCGTTTGGCGAGTGCACTTTTCGTCACCAAGAAATTATTTAAATATCAAAATAAAAAATGTTTTTACACTCCATTTTGGCACGAAAATTCCTAAACATAAACTTACCATTTCTAGTTTACAAAGTTTTGTATTCTGAAAGGCAAGCGACGTACTACACTCGGCTAAACAATATGGCTTCCCTCTAGTGATAATTACACAACACATGTACTGGAACAAAGTATTACTGCTGGTCACTATCGAGCCATCGGTGACCAGGTAGATATGGCGCCTAAAATAGAGAGGGCGCCTAAAATAGAGAGCGCTCCTGAAAGGAACAGACACGTTTGCTCGCAAACTGCAGGGATTTCACGAAGATTCATCAATAAAAGATCTACTTGAAATATAAAGTAAGTGCTTCCATTGTGTTTCCTTGGGATTTAGGGTCTTTAAATAGAATTTTTTATTGAAGAAAGAATCCTCGGTCTGCCACGTGCTTTACGACGTTGCAAGCGAGTTGGAAAG